CCCCAAAACCCCAAAACCCCAAAACCCCAAATGGAAGGGAGAAAATTGAGATAAATTATTTTTTTCATGGTATGAATATAGATTTAGAAAATTGGGGGAAATCGATTTTAGAGGCATCTGAGAGATGTTTTGAGGTGTTCTTTTGTGTTGTAATTGGGTTTTATGATAGGAAGGGTGTTTTTGGTGGGATTGGAAAGAGTTTGTGGAAGTTTGGGTGAGGAATGGTTGATGTTTTTGAAGAAGGTACATTTTTATAGGATTATAAAAATAAGTATGATAAGGACATGAAGAAGCATTTTAAAGAGATTCGGGAATTCATTGCATCAAGAAACTCATCCAAACAAATGAAGTTATATGATATCCAAAAAATTAACCTGTAGGAAACTCAGACTAAATTTTCTAAATCATTTCTCCAAGCTTTCTAATTTGCTCTAAAACATCTATAAACTCCAAAATATGTATAAAACCTATACATTCTTTTGCATAGAAAAAGACAGTTTAAACCGATAAGGAGTGGACATGATCATCACAGAAATTTTCAATCGGTAAACACCTCCTACAAAAGTAAAATCTAATATACACCAGAACAATAGGAGCAAGAGCCCTGAAAATCCCCAAAACAGTGACCAAGATACCAAAAGACCTTCATTAGTACACAAAATAATAACTTTCTAGAAACGGAAACTTGTGATCAAAATCAAGAGTATTTTTGATACAGATTCATCAAGTTCCGAAAAATCAAATTCCACAATGAGATCTACAAGCAGCATGACTTTAAAAACCATTGAGGTATCTTCCTATCCCTATTCCTCTCCTCCAACCCCTAACATTCCTTCAGAACCGCCACAACGCCCAAACCTCCCCTCTCGCCTATGCTGAAGAGGCTCGAGACCCCTCACTAGCCACGCACATCCTAGATGTGCGCACTGAGCACGAGCTCTTGAGCAAGTCTTTGTCCAGGCACACACAGGAGAAGTACGGCTTTGCAGATAGAGTAGCAGTCAAACAGGTTAACCAGATTTTGGAGATTTGTGATGACCAAGGTAGAAGAAGTGGGATTTTTGGAGGAGCTGAAAGCCCTGGTAGTGGGGAGTGATTTAGCTGTGTGAAATAGGCTCTTGTTTTGGGTTTTGGGGTTTTTGAGCAGTTTGATTGAGTTTTTTAGGGCAGAAATTTAATGAACATCCTTATTTTTGTAAGAAGAGGTTGAAACAGTCGGAGTCACAGGGTGATCCTTATCAATCCAGGTCTCCTTATTTGAGAAGTAAGGAAATATCATTGGTAAGTTTTCTTTTGGGAAATATTCATTCTTGCTGTTTAGCACTGCCTGAAGAACTGGATATCACCTATCAAAAGATTTGTGCCATTGAAGGTAAGAAAAAAATTTGAAGCTGAATTATGAAAGATTGAGCTGGGAGTGTCTAATTACTTCTGAATTGCAAACATTTAAGTTCCAAAATAACATTCCTTATTTTTTATATAGACCAAATCTAGCTACTCCAGAAAGCTCAGGCTGCAGTCAAACCCAAGACAGCTGCACCAGAACCAGACCGTGGTCCAGGACCACGCACAAAGAATTGAGAGGAACTCCATGATCAAGTGACTTAAGAATGATTTAAAGAAGTTTATAAGTAAGCGGTTTTTATGTATTTTAGGCCACTCGAAGGTGAGAGGAAGGAGGATGAGGGGTTGGAAGGGGATTTGGGGGTAGGGGTTGGGAAGATGATTTTGGGAGTTGGATTTTATTAGGAATTTTGGGAGTGATTATCTTTGAGATTTAAGCAAAATTCATACATTTTGGTATATAAATGATATATTACACTTAACGTTACCGTTAAATTAAAGGAACTTGAGATGAATTTACTGCATGGTTACAGCAAATTCTATAATTCTTTAAATTCTCTAATTCCAGAAGGAATAGTTTCATTTTCTGAGCTGAATAATTTACCAAAGCATATTTATCCTTTGTTCAGAAGCAAAAGATTGAGAAGCCTTGAGATATAAAGATCAAGAAGATAAAGCCCAAGACGATCATTATAACTGAGCCAAAGGAAGAGGAAAAACATAAAAATAATCAACCAAAATGTATATAAATCATCTAAATCTGCTTATTTAGTGATGATAAAGCCAGTACTTTCAAGCCTTTTTAAGGATCAGCTTCCAATGGAGATCAGGCTACCAGCTACTCAACAGAAGAGGGGGTCTAGGAACTTTCTCTTTTCAGGACAAAAAACTGCTTTAGCCAAAAGTAACCTGGAAAGTATCGCTATGAATAAGTTCGGATCATATACTCCTATTTAACAGATGTGAGGACTTCAATTGGATTACATTCTATCGGGGTTTTGGGGTTTTGGGGTTTTGGGGATGGGG